TTGGGTGAAATCTCCTTTTAAGAAAGGCTGAAAACGTCTTTGTCACAGGCATCACCAAAGGATCTGAATGTTTAGGGAAGCTCGATTTATAGCATCTCCGAAAACCATGAAGCGCCCTGTTTCCATGGGAACTGCAAAGCAATCGAGATGAGGTTACCCACCTGACATTAGTGAGATCCCACAGCACCATCGCAGTCTGTAGGCAGGAACTTTAAACCTTATGACTCCTAAAACAAAGACTTACAAATACGCAACACGTCAGAGCAAACACGATGACTGCAGCGGGACTAGTAACTGATCAGTGATGAAACACTCGTGGGATTCATCATGTTGGCCATGAATGTTGCACTAATGCATTCATGGTGAATTTTTGTTAATAGTGTGGATATTTTTGACAAATCTCCAACTGTATTATTTCAATTCTGACCTAATTCAATACAGGCAAACCTTTCTCCTCTGTGGAGCCTCTTCTGACATCAGTGTGTTTTCGCAGGGAATTCGGTGTGGAACAAGTGAGCTGTGAAAATCCACCGCTGTGAATCTATTACTTTTGTTACATTCACTGCAGTATTACTGATTAACTGTCTTCCAATACAATTAAAACCTTGAAGAGAGTAAACCTACCCTTTACTCATTGGGTGAATCTTCTAAAAACACTTCCAGGTCGCATCTCAGCCCAGAATCTTCATTTTCAGAGGCACAGACCCATCCTCCATTCTCCTCATGCAGTTTACCTAATTTGCCACGAGTCTAATTTCACAGTCACTGTTGCGTGGCGGGAAGTTTCCACCTGACGTTGAGATTATTATCTTGGGTGTCAGACGAGGTATTTCAAAAGGAAACTTCAATAGGATTCTTGACACACAGTCACTGTAGTAAAAAAAAAAAAACAACATTATTTAATTTGTATGTTAATGCATGAATTCAATTTGAATAATGTGGAGGGGCTCGAATGGATTTGTATTATGATAAATATATATATATATATATATATATATATATATATATATATATATTCGGGTATTATTTCACCCCAAAATCAAAAAGAAATTGTTTTGAAATTAAGATGATGATAAATCAAACGAATTGTTCATCCAAAAGTGAAAATTTGTGACAATTTACTCACCCTCAGGCCATCCAAGATGTAGATGAGTTTTGTTTTTTTTATCAGATTTGGAGAAATGTAGCACAGCATTACTGTCTAAGCAATGGATGCTCTGCAGTGAATGGGTGCCGTCAGAATGAGAGTCCAAACAGCTGATAAAAACATCACAATAATCCACAAGTAATCCACACCACTCCAGTCCATCAATTAACATCTCGAGAAGCCAAAAGCTGCATGTTTGTAAGAAACAAATCCATTTAAAGACATGTTTTACTTAAAAACGGTTGCTTCCGACTAAAATATGAGTCCATGATCCATAATAATGCTACATCCAGTGAAAAAGTCCATCTCCTGTTGTCTCTCACATCAAAATCCTAATGCATGAATTCAATTTGAATAATGTGGAGGGGCTCGAATGGATTTGTATTATGATTTAAAAAAAAATACAGTAAAAAAAAAATTAAGGATTACTGGAGACAGATGGCTGCTAAACAGTGCTTGATACGTGCAGATTTCTCTCCTGATTCAGACCAGACCACGGACTTATATTTTAGTCAGAAGCAACGGTTTGAAGTTTAAAATGTTTTAATTTTGGATTTGTTTCTTACAAACACGCAGCCTTTGTCTTCTCCAGATGTTAACTGGTGGACTGGAGTGCTGTGGATTACTTGTGGATTATTGTGATGTTTTTATCAGCTGTTTGGACACTCATTCTGACGGCACCCATTCACTGCAGAGGATCCATTGGTGAGCAAGAGATGGAATGTTACATTTCTCCAAATCTGTTCCCATTTTGGCCTGAGGGTGAGCACATTGCAAATTTTGGGGGGAACTATTTCTTTAACTCACCTTGTAGACACTGATCTGATCCAGCTGAAGAAAACACTCCCTGGTAAAAGAGAATAATTTCACTGCATCAACTCTGTGGTGTTGAGCCAAAAATACAGAGTCAAGCCCAGCAAACAAGCAGTCAGAAACCATGTCAGAGAGCTAATTAAAGGTCTGAAGTGTGAGGCGGCTGGTAATCCTGCTCACTTCTGTGTATCAGCATCAAACACTGCAGAAAATCTGGACTTTGCAAAGGTCAGTTATATGTCCAGCAGTATCTTCAAAACGAAGATTGGATATTTATACAGTCACAGCAAATGCCTTAGTATATTCTGTCATAGTTAGATTCCCAAAAATGCAGCATTTTTTTGGTCCCACAAATAAAAAAAGGGTTAAAAACACGTATTAACTGAGGTAATTTTCTGCAAAAAACCATTTCATTGATAAATGACACTTCATGTCACTCATAAATATTACTTGAAAATGATTTCCGAGGTTTAGCAGGTTTATTTTGATGCTTGTTCCTATTGCGACAAAATCACAGGCAACTTTACTGTAGCTTTAATAAATGACAAACACACAGAACCACTTAAAAGTCTCATTAATCTGTATTTATGATCGCTCAAGTAAAGCAAATAATTAAATTTAATCATCAAGATCATTCAGTAAATCAAGCTGCTTTGATTCTCACATCAGCTCAGGCTCTTTTCTGCAGATTTCCTCAGATATCTTCTCTGTGATTCTAACAAACTGTGTTCATCCCATCACACTGTTGCAGAGATTCAGAAGCCACAGAACATCAGACGCGACTTTCATGTTTAACCAGTGTTAAACAAAACCCCCCTGTAAACTGTTTGTTTGGTCTGGTTCTGCTTCTTGCATGCTATTTCAGTCTTTAGATACTCATAAAAACAACATGGATTATAACACAGCTATGACAAACATGACACCTGAGGATATTAGAAAGGGGTTAGATGTGTCATCTAACAAACCGCATAATGTTTGTCATAATACATTTAGAAGGAATCCATCATATGCAGCTGCCTGTGATTGAGGGATGCCTGAAAAATGTGATAAGCATTTATTATGCTAAAAATTCCTTTCATGTCAAAACTAGTGTTCTACATGGAAAGTAAAATTAATTTGATGTCAAAGCAAATTTATCCAATTTATCCAAGTCTAACAATAAATAACAGACATATTGGTAAACTATATGAACCCATGTAAATTCCATGACTATTATATAACTTTCTCGATAAATGTATATACTGCATATATGCTTATATATATATATATATATATATATAAGATTTATTATCTTTACAGAGAACAAAACGTGCAGCCATAGACACTGAAAAAAAGAGAAAGACTACAGCGCTATCTGGTGGACATTTGGCAAATTATATGGAGCTGTTGAGCTGCTGGCTGTTGAATTAATTATAGCTGTAAGAATTACTAGTTGGTAATTTTTCGATAACCATTCACAGTGCCTGCACTTCAACTTGTGAGTCTCCTAGATTTAATTTATATGCACATTAAAAAGCACATTATATATGCATAATATAAAGAGAATTCAGGAAAATTGAGACATTTTGTCTTCAAGATGACTTGAAAAAAATGTCCCAACTGCAAACCACTGAACTGACCAACAATTGACCATCTGACAAATTAATGTCCATTCAGCCAAAACCTTTATCTACTAAGCAACTACATTTGGTATTCAATAAAGTACTACTAAAAGAATAGTTGAGCCACAAATTGAAATACTGTAATTTACTTATCTTCAAATGGTTTCAAACCTGTATGACTTTTCCCCTCTGTTGAACATAAAATATGGTGTTAAGCATAATAACAACCTCACTTTCATTGCACCTTTTTATCATACCCTTTCAATGTTCTGCTTCTTCAGCGTGTCGCTGTCCATGGTGCTGAATCTGAAAAGAGGTCAGATAGACAGCTATCAATCATTTTACATTCACTGACACCTTACGTTGCATTCAAGTCATACATTTTAGCAGTTTATAAAACCATGATAAAATCACTACCAACACAATTATTGCAATCATGAAAAATGACGAGCTATGTAAAGCATGCACTAGTTAGCAGTGGCTAATAAATTGGGCTACAATAGTTTTATTGAACAGAAAAGAAAAAAAAAACATGACAGAGACATTGAAACTAGTGAAATTCACACATGCAATCAAAGAAATTAAACACTAAAAAAAATGTTTTCTTCAAATAATTGCTTCTATCCATTCAGCTTCTCACGATAATGTGTCAGAACTTTTATTATACTAACCAATAATTTAATTCAAAATTGTGTAAAAGTGCAATACATTTAGCAACTTTTTACTGTTAAACAACTTTGCTTAATTTTTAAACTATTTGTAGGATATGTTTTTTTTCTCAGATACTGGATGTAGTATTTCGTTTCTTTGATTACATGTGTGAATTTCACCAGAAGCATGTTCATTTAAATGTGCTCGGTTGTCGACATCTGCTGTCAGGAGCTTCACCGAGCACCACCACCATCATCCTCTTCATCATCCTACCCACCCCTCTACCTCTCCCTGCGGGAACGACAATATCCAGCTCTTAACATTCCCAATTTGGAATTGCAAATCCTCGCCAAAGGACCCAGTTTGAGCGGCATAAATTGCCACATTCTTTCTTTAATGGCGTCAGAAACGCGTCTCACGCTCGCGTTATCGTACAGGAGGTATGGCGGCTAATCAGACGCTCTGTGAATCCTCATCAGTCAGATTTTCAATGCATGCGTTTGATATGATTGTAATACGATCATTTAAGTATAAAACCGATCTTTAATAGCCATTCAAAAGATACATATGCACACATACGTTGCACAAATAGCCTAATCAAATCGCTGGTGTTGCTGCAAACAGGATTAAGCGATGAAATTCAATTTCAAAATGCATGACGGAAGGGACAGACTGATTTGAAAGCGCTGGTTGTATTGGTGTGCGTTTGTAATTACTGGATGCTGAGGAGTGTGGGGAGAGTTTGAGGTGGTCCGCACCCGAGAGTTTGAGGTGGTCCACACCCTGTCATTGTTCCAGCCATGTCCCCTCCAGCATCCGCTGCGACAGCCAGTGAGAGCAGCACCACCACTGTGTTCGAGGACGACCCAGACGGCACTAGAGAGGAGGTACTCAATAACTGATGCCGTTTTCATTTTGCAGTCATGACGATGCATGTATGGCGCATGATACGTGAAACAAGAAATGTAAACATGAGCATCGATGTTCACAACATGAAAGCATGCATGTTTATGTGGACATCACTGCGTGAGAATGCATGAGCAGAGATTGGCTTTTTCAAATAACAGGCGGCCAGTTCGACCATTCTTTGCTATTGTAAGCAATAGAGGTAAAATCCATGATACTACATAACAAATGACAACCAGTATGACACATAATGTCATGTCAGACATTAACAATGCTGATTGATCACATAATAAAAAAAATGAATTTTATAGTTTCAAATGAGGCTCTGAATATGTTCATGTAAAAAAATAAATATATACTACAAACTAATTTAGATTCAAAAAATAAAGTTCAAGATTCAATGAAATACCATAAAGAAATAGATTACCAAAAATGTACAGAAGACAAATGACAAAAAAAAGTGAACATGCATTACAAGCCATCTTAAATGTTTGTATATCCAGCATGCATCTGACATAGTATCACATGCATTTGCGATGATGTAATGTGTATGGCAGCATTAATTCATCCATCTCCAGATACTGAAAGATTTAGATATATTAGCTATATGTGCTGCTCTATGATGATGATGAGATGATGCATGAATATAAACCAGTAAAGGAATACATTTGTGCAAATTCATCATCTTGATTTCAAACAACAACATGCATGACACTGCATTTGCATAATTCACTGTACTCACTGTTTCCATGTCCTTTTGAACTCATCTGCATTCTCTTTGTTCTCTTTTGTGGTTGACGAGCAGCAGAGGCCTGTGAAACAGTCACTGAGCAAGTCCATGTGCAGAGAGGTGTTCTGGAAATGCCTGCTGCTGTCTATGCTCATGTACGGCTGCATGGGAGCCATGGTGTGGTGCCACGTCACCAAGGTCACCCGGTTGACCTTTGACAGTGCCTACAAAGGGAAGTCCATGATGTATCATGACAGTCCCTGCTCCGATGGCTACATCTACATCCCCCTGGCCTTCCTCATCATGCTTTATGTCGTTTACCTGGTGGAATGCTGGCACTGTCATGCCAGAAATGAGCTTCAGTATAAAGTCCATGTGGAGGGGATTTACGAAAGAGTCCAGAGGATGCAGCAGGCCAAGTCTTGCATCTGGTGGAAGGCTATCAGCTACCACTACGTGCGGCGGACGCGGCAAGTCACGAGGTACCGCAACGGAGACGCGTACACCACCACGCAGGTGTATCACGAGAGGGTGAACACGCATGTAGCCGAGGCAGAGTTCGACTACGGCCACTGTGGAGTTAAGGATGTCTCCAAGCAGCTCGTCGGTCTGGAAAAGTCAGTCATCACCAAACTGAGGTTCACTAAGTGCTTTAGCTTCGCCAACGTGGAGTCCGAAAACTCTTATTTGACCCAACGGGCAAGGTTCTTCACCGACAACGAAGGACTAGATAACTATATGGAGGCTCGGGAGGGGATGCACCTGAAAAACGTAGACTTCAAAGAGTACATGATTGCCTTCTCCAACCCCGACCACCATCCTTGGTACATCTCCAACTACGTCTTCTGGACAGCGGCCTTTCTTACCTTATCCTGGCCATTACGGGTGCTCACGGAGTACCGCACGGCTTATGTCCATTACCGTGTGGAAAAGCTCTTTGGTGCCGACTACATACCTGTGACGCCCTGCGACGAGAGACCTTACTGTAGACGCATCCCAAGGGTCAACACTATTGACAGCACCGAATTGGAGTGGCACATTCGCTCCAACCAGCAGCTGGTGCCCAGCTACTCCGAGGCGGGTCTGATGGACCTGGCACAACGTTCAGGAGGTGTCAGACAGAACTGCGAACGCTGCCATCGCACCATCAGCAGCTCCTCTGTGTTCTCCCGCAGTGCCCTCAGCATCTGCAACGGCAGTCCACGGATCCCCTTCAGCGGGAGTCGCTTCTCCTTGGGAAGACTGTACGGTTCCCGCCGCAGTTGCTTCTGGAGAAGTGGGAGTGGCAGTCTGGACGAACCAGAGAGCCCAAGCGAGAACACGCGATGCCTGTCCGGACGGATCAGTGTTGACGAGGAAGACCCACCACCCTACCAGGATGCGCTGTATTTCCCGGTGCTTATCGTCCATTGCAGTGAGAGTTGCCCCAATCATCGCTCCTTCCATAGGAATGGCTCTTGCGTGGAGACGTCTTTATGATGGACCTCTGTCCACCGAAAGAAGTTCAAAAGACTTGAGAGTTTTTCCGATAATGCAGAAAAATCTCAATACCAGACGCGTCCTGTTACTCAGGAATCACTTATCGGCCCACAACACTGTACGCTTACAACAATGGATGGAGCAATTGAGAAATAACTCCAGTAATACATATTTATAGCAATAATGCAAACAAAGCATCGGAGTTCTTGGTACAAGTAATCATTTTAATTAACTTGCGCTCTAGGACAGCAAAAACGTGCTGCTTTTGTTCACATGTTCTTGACAGCTATAAAGAACAATGGCCACAGAGCAAAAACCTGGTCTTTTTTCTACAAGTATGACCATTTTCACCTTTATGGACCTTCTTAAATGTTGCACTTGAAGTTGAATCAGTCAAAACATCTGTAAAAAATTGTTACTTTGTTTCTCTCATGTAGTGGATTCCATTGGGTCATGGAAAATATCATGGGTTATTTGTTCTTTAATTGTGATTTAACTGTATCAGGCAGAACTATATACAATTATGAACTATTAAGGCGATGTTTGCAACACTATCTCAAACCACTTAGGAAACCATAAAACACATTCCAGGCTATGCAACTATTAACCTCTGGTATGTTACGCCTTTAAAACGTATATACAATTTACAATGGAATGTATGACTGTTGAAGCTTTTTTTTTTTTACATCGCTTGTATGTAGTGTACAAACTATCCAACAAGGACTTAATTATTTAGTGAAGCCAGACACAAACAGGCTTGACTATTAGTGAATGTTTAAGAGTTTAATGGCTGGCGGCTGCTCTTGTACTTAGCCAGAAATTGCAGTGGATCACAGTAATTGAAAAGGATCGATTAAACACAGTACAAGAGAGGAAATATACGTTACTTTATGCAGCTGTACATTCATTTATTGATTTGTTAATATTGTTTTGCATTAACCATAACAAAGGTGCAGCCTCATGAAAGCTCCATTCAAGGTCGTTTTACAGTACCAATGATACCTGAATGCTGAAAAGAAGTAATGACCCTCAACAATGGCCTAGAGCTTCCCAAATACATTTTGTTTTATCTCGTTCATGCAGTCGATCCAGATATAGCCTATATATCTCTGTTCTGTTACCTGTTGTGTCTAAAGGTTGCAAAAGCATTTATCAACATTGTGTCCTATCACTTTTATACTACCTAGATAATGTATACCATATCATGAAAAAGTAAAAACGCCATCACTATCATGTAGCACACTTTAAACATTGTTATGTTAAATGGGCATAAACTCACTGAATAAACTGCTTGTGGATACACAGATCGACTTCCAGTGTGCAGTTATGAGAACACACCTCTAGATGGCAATATAGAATGTGTCACATAAAATATATATCATCACGGGTAATTTTACTGCATAAGCAGAACTAGCCTATATGAGTATCATGCCGTCTAACTGCAGATAACTAAATTAAGCAGTAATAATAACCAGTTGTTTTAGATGGCTCCACACACAGATGACAGAAGAATTGGTGAGTTTCTGATTAAACTGTATGTGTTTTCCTGTTTGGCTTTACACTCATGTCTGGTGTCTAATTCAAAGAAACATTTAAACAGCAAGAATAACTGGTTTTGAACGGCACACAGAAAAGACTGTTATAAAGCAAGTTAGAGGCAGCCTATTGAAACTTCTGTTTGGACACAGAAGGTTCAGTGATTTCAAATACCCTTGTGATCTTTTGATCGACAGTGACACAGGAAAGTCTAATGCTTTTGTCATCAGTCATGTCCCACCCTAAGTACATACACAGAGATAAGAGAGCCTGCTACTGTCTATTACTAGCAAAACAAAACACAGGTAATCATTTACAAAGCCCGTCAGAATAAAGGTACGAATCCAAAGGTTCAGAAACTATAGTTTCCAAAGTCCAAAGGACATCGCTTATGATTTTCAAGGGTGTAGAATTTAGTAGGGATGCTATGTCCCTACCAACTAATGATTAATGAACAACAAACACTTCTAAAAGGACCCCACAGTATTATCGCGTTTTTTAACATGATCATTTAAGTACCAGTTTGAAGTACTAAGGCCTTTAGTGAATTTACTCAGTTTGACTTCTACTCTCCTCAGGATGATTTCAGAAAAGTTACACTGTTCTATTAGTATATTTTAAATATTGTTAATATATAGGCTATAATATCGGCTAGGCTACACAACATGATTAAGAGTTTTTAACTAGTTTGAGAATAGTTCTGTTTGGCAGGCCTGAATCTTGGCATGTGGAAACGTTCGTTATAAAATTATCTGTGATATATAACTTAAGTTTAACTGAATTGTTAACAAGTTACCCACCTTTCTGCGTGGCTTCGTATGCCAACCGCTTGTTGTATCGTAGTACAAGCACACTAGTTTCCTCTGAGCAGGGTTGCCAGGTTTTCACAAGAAAACCCGCCCAATCGCTACCAGAGCATGTGAGCGAAGCGGAGCGGTGTGACGCTCCACTATGTTTTCCGCTCTATGGACGTGCGCTCCACTCAGTCGCTCTAACCGCCCAAGCAAACGCTCCGTTAATATTCCGCTCACGCTCACCGTAAACCAATTCCCGCTCAGATCCCGCTCCGTTCTGTAAAGAACAAATTTGCGTGCATTATATTAGATTATAAATTACTGCTGGCATTTCAGGCGAGGCGCATCTCAAACAAGCCTAGTGGCTCTGAAAAAGCTGCGCCAGCTGAGTGAGCCGGCTGCTCTCGAAACGCTATCGCGGTACTGTGATGCCACACCTGACAGTGACGTGGCTTCGGCGCCGGTTCAAGTCGGACTAAATTTCTAACTGACATGAACTGCTTCAAGTCAGCCACCGATCGGTTTGCGCGGCGCCGCATGAAGTCGAAGGCACCTAATGTTATGATAATGAATATTAATTAGATTACACTAATGTTCTTCGTTATGATTTGCTGAGAGAACCAGTAGCCCCTCACTGCTAATGAATATTAATAAATCATGTTCATCGTGTAGTCGGATTCGTTCGCCATTCTGACACTCAGCAAATCAGTGAGCGCTATTAGGCGAACGTCACGGTAACTAATTACTATTCATGAACTAACGATTTACTAGGATTCATTAAAGGCAGAGTAAGTGATTTCTGGTAGCCAATGTTGATATTTGAAATCACCAAAACAAACACGCCCCTACCCCAAAAGGGTCTTGCCCCTATTTTGATAGCTCCACCCCACATATACGTACGCAACCCAGGCAACGATTAGTTCTGTGAAACAAAGCAAAACCAATGTTACACCGTGTCTACGGACGTGAGCGGCGCGGCGCGACAAATCCCCGACAGAAAACTGCTGCCGGGTTCTATTTATGACGTGCTGACACAAATTTCAAATGGTTTTCAACGGTCGTTTGATCGCGTCCAGTGTAGGCAGACTTTAGCTGTTGTAGACACAGTGTTACTCACCTATTGAGAAGAAACAAAGCAACCTCGGCGTCCGATCGCAGGCCTCCGCTCCTTGAGTTCTCTCCAGCGCTGGAAAGCTGATCCGATATTTACACGGGTCCTACTTCTTGCCTTATCGTTCCGCAGACGTTTTCCTCTTTTGTTTTTTATCCGCCATCTCTATCTTTCTGTCGCTCGGCTCAGCTAATGTCCGTCCCATGCACCGAAAGCTCTCTCCTCCACATCATGAGACGAGTAGACACGCCCCTTATGCTGATTGGCTACAAGTTTGTTTTGCTATTCGGCCCGAATCAGTTTTCTAAAGTGTTTTTGAAAAATCACATACCCTGCCTTTAATTGGAGTCCAAAGTTCATTTATTCAAGTTCTTTTTGGCGTTAGACTGCATTTTACTGTAAGTGTAAAGTAGTAACGTGTCAATACAAGCACTATATAACAGTGAATTCTGAGGTACTGGGTATTGATTTATTGGTTGTTATACAGTACAGTACAGTACAGTACAGCAAACAGATTTTCATAACTGTAGACAGTGTGGGGTTTGTTCATCTCGTTAAAAAGTGCCATTGAGGCTAAAAAAAAAAAAAAAAAGCTAGATTAGTGAACTAAGATTAGTGTGATATGAATGAAAGTGTTTCTGACTGAAAACGTTATTTAAACAAGTTAAACTCTCCACACAATTCATTCTAGGCTATTTAATAAAATGCACATCACGATTTATCACCATATGCAAAATCTAAAAAAAATATATGAATAACAAGCCTGTATTATGCGAAATGTAGGCTTGTGATGTAATGAATGTAAAGTTGCATTTAAGTCTTAGATTTGTGTAATTTATTGCTGTATGATATCAGTGAGGTCTCAGAAGTCTGTCCAGGATCCATTCTCTCAGTCTCATCTGGATCACGAGTACATTGTGAGATGCATCCACTACAACAACAGAGCATTGGTTAAACAGCGGTTATGATCTATGATTTTTATTAATCTTACTATGAATTCTGATGAATTAAATATTTGATTTAAAAGCATTACTTCATTTTCCCCCAGCATCATGTTCGGCCCTCCAGCAGCGAGTCTCTTGAATGTTTCTGGGGATGATCATATGAATTTATACTTAGTGTACATTAATAACAGCAATTAACATAAATAATCCAGACATGACAAGGACATAATGCACTAGGTTTGGTGTGGATGTTATGCAGTCATTTAATTATCTTTGTGAAACATGAATCAAATGATTTAAGTTGAATTCTAATTTATCTATCTTAGATCTCAAGTTATTTGTAGGATTTTTTATTGAACATAATATTTTGAACTGTAATAGTACACAACAGGCTAATGTTTTAGACTCACTGGCCATGCAATCCATGCGCAGGACGAGCACAATAAAGTTTTCCAGTGTAATTTCACCATTAGAGTCGCCGTATCGTAGAGCCATGAGATTCAGCATACTGTCACTCAATACAAACCCTTGAAAACAAAAGTATGAGCATATCAATTCTATTATTTTGAATGGCAAGTGATTAAATTGTGATGTAACCTTTATGACTTTAAGATAATTAGATAACATAGAAGTGTGTTAAAATAGTCTTAACATAGAAAATAATGTTACCTGTAATCGTAAGAGCATTTCGGAGTTCATTCAGAGACAGACTTCCAGTGCGCGAAACATCCTTGCCATAGAAAATGTCCTGATAAACAGACAAAAGAGCAATTGCAAATAATTTTACTTATATAATGTGCATTTT